ATGGGGATGACCGTGGCTTGTGACCATAGTTTTGGCAAGGAGCTGGTCTTGAAAGATTTTTCAAAGATTATGCTTAGAGGTTCAGCTATGGCAGTGGATAGCTTTTTTAAGAAGTAGGCACATATTCCGTCCAGTCCAATAGATAGAGATGGTTTTAGATTGCGTAGTGCTTTTTCAACATTGTCTTCTGTAAAATCGATATGTATTAGATCATTGTAGTTGTCTGTGGTTCGACTAGGAAATACTGGGCTTGATCCATTACTGTTTACAAATACTGAGCCAAAGAATGTGTTAAAGAGGTTGGCTTTCATGGTGTCGTTGTTGCAGTCTTTACCATTAGTTCCTTTCAGGGGTAGGATGGACCTTGAGTCTTTTAGTTTGTTGTTTACAAAACTGTAAAAAGCGCGGGTGGAATTGGTGCGTAGAAGGCTTTCCTCTTGTTTAATGTGATAATTGGTGCATTCAGTCTTTATCTGGTGGCATAAATTTTTGTATCGGCTTTTGAAGTTGGCAATGTGACCAGATTTGTTTTTCTGCCAGAGTGATCTCTTTTTGGATTGAAGCTTCCTTATTGTTATGGGTAATTTGTTTTTCCTGCTTTGGGGAGTTGTTATTAGTACCTATAGTTTGATGACTCTTTTGACTTCAAGTAAAAATATGTTGTAATGGTCTTTAACAGTATTGCATCCAGTGAATAGAAATTGCCAATCAAGGGAAGAGAGATCGTTGATTATAAGATCATAGTTGCCTTTTTTGAAGTTATAATTGGGGATTTTGTCATGATGATGATTTTTGTGTGGACGTATGTTGAGAGAAAAGTCAATCATGTTATGGTCACTGTTGGAAAAGTGTTCTTTAATTTGTATTCCGTAAATTGAATTCAAACTATTGCAGAAGATGAGATCGAGGCAGTTGTTAAGCCTAGTATTGTTGGTTACTAGTTGTTCCAATCCCAGATTTGTTACAGCATTGTAGAAGGTTGCATGTATGGGTTCAGTTGTACATTCGTTTAGGGTCCAGTTAATATGAGGTAGATTGAAGTCACCAAGAAAGATAAAAGCGTGTGGGCAGGATGTTGTCCATGTTAGTAGAACCGAAATGTGATATTTAAAGGCAGTTCACAGATAATGGTCTCAGGAAGAGCAAGCTCTTGGGTAACTTGGATATTTTTTAGATGTAAGGACTTTTTATAGAAGATAGCAACACCACCTCCTCTACGGATTTCACAATCGGATTGGTAAACATGATAGTCTCTTACTGTGGTAATGGAGTCAGGGAGAGATGCGTTGAGCCACGTTTCACAGACAAATATGACGTCGAATTTAGCCATATTTAGTAAGAGGAGAAATTCAGGTATTTTATTTACAAGGCTTCTTGCATTGAGTAGCTTGCATTTAAGGCCAGTTGTAGTTTGAATTGAGGTACTTGGGGGCGCGCGTGCCTAGTCTTGGGTGATGGTGAATTGGTTGAAGAAGGTTTGTTCAGTTTCCATCCATTATTTCTTGTCTGGCCTTCAAAGGTGCCTTGGAGAATAGCTTGACCCTTTCCTCTTCTCTGGGGCAGCCCCTCAGATATTGGAAGGCTGCTCTCCTGTCTCCCTGGTTCTTCTCTTCCCTAGACTAGCCAGGCCCGGTTCCTGCAACCGTTCTTCGCATGTTTCAGCCTCCAGTCTAGTGGTGGTATTCTACTGGTTCAGCCCGGTTCAGACAAACCGGTAGTAAAAAATTTTAATGTTCACCCGAACCAGTAGTAAAAAAATAGCTACTGGTTTGGCCGAACTGGTATTTCCTTTTCTTTTTTCCCTCCCGATGATCAGCGCTTCCCACGATCAGCTGTGCCGGGATCCCTCTAAACAAGGAAGAATGGATGGAAACTGATCAAGGAGAGATTTAACCTGGAAATAAGGAGAAACTTTCTGACACGGAGGACAATCGACCCATGGAACAGAAGTTGCCTTCGGAAGTTGTGGGAGCTTCATCACTTAAGACTTTCAAGAAGAGGTTGGACTCCCCTTGGTCAGAAATGGTGTAGGGTCTCCTGCTTGGGCAGGGGGTGGACTACATGACCTACAAGGTCCCTTCCAACTCTGTTTATCTGTTATCTAGACATACCCAATTCCAGCAACTGTTTTTCGTACGTTTTATAGCTTTCAGCCTCCTAGTCCTCTATGTTGCTCTTCTCTGCCTCCTTTCCAGAGTCTCAACCTCTTGTTTACATGTGATGAATGGAAATACAATTGTCCCATCCTGTCCTGATTGTATTTGTCTCTGTTGGGTCTACACGGGAACAATTTGTTCTCCTGGACAAGGTAAACAGTGGACCAAAAAACAATGCAGGTTAAAGTCGCTTGTTGGCAGGCGCGTTGTGCTTTAATTTTCTCTCCTGGTGATCAAAACGCCAGGAACACAAAAGGTTGTTCCTGCAAGATGGTTATCCCCAGGAAAGACTGGTACACCGAGACCAGGCCTTACATCACTGTAGTAAGGTATGTTACCCAAAGAGTGTCAAATGATGACAGAATGTCAAACAAGAAGAACGAGTCGTCGTCCCAACACAAAAAAGACAACATGGTGGGATGAATGCAATTGCAACGGAGGATGTCTTCAAAGGAAATTGGCCCACCCACCCCCCAAAAAAGTTGGTTGTGAAGAAATCCGGTGGCCATGAGGAACTCAGTGACCTTGAAGAACCAAGACTTAGAATAGAACAGAATAGA